ACCTGAAATCATAAACAAACAATAGAAAGTAAGGTGTAAGGATTACAAACATCATCTTTTTGTTTTGAAATCTAAGAGCACTTCTCCCTTGAAACGACACTCGAATACTTGCATAAAGAAGTCGATATTCTTTAAGCAACAACAATTAATTAATTTATTACCGTCTAATTCAAGCATCGGTACGAACAAATCTGAATTTGTTAGTACTTTACATGATGGTAAAATTGACATGTTGAAGATGAGAGAGGCTATGGCTCATTGGATCACAATGCATTTGCATCCTTTTAAGAAAAAGAAGTGATTTAATTTAATGATGAGAGATGCTAGTGCTTTACATGTAGAGGAGGAAGTATTTAATTTGATGATGAAATGAGGAATGCCACAATGGGCTAGTTTTTTTTTTTCGAGTTCGAGCTTCAATCGAGCCCTTGGAAATGTTCAGAGTTTGAGTTTTTTGAGTTCAAGTCGAGCTTTAATTTTGATTTCGAGTGAGCTTAATAGTTTTAATCTCGTGAGCTTTCGAGTTGAGTTTAGTCCAACTTTAAGCTTTTCGAGTTCAAGTCGAGCTCAGCAATACTCGAGCTCGAATTAAATTGCTTACACCCCTAATTACCACTCTGGTAAAGAGATTATGGTGGTTGACGCTTTGAGTCGAAAGACAATGTTCGATCTTTGAGCCTTACTTGCGTTTAAATTTGACCGCCAATGGTGGATTGTTAGCTTAGTTGCAAGTAGAGCCTGAGTTGGTTATGGAAGTGAGAGAACTTCATAGGACCGATGATCGCTTGTTAGCAAAATGGCGCAAACTCATCTTGGTGAGGCGCCTGGTTTTGAGTTGAAAAATGGTAACATATATTTCCGGGGATGATTATGTATTTCGTTGAGAGGGGAGTCGAAAACCAAGATCCTTGGAGGTGCATTGCAATCCGTTTTCTATTCACCCAAGGAAACAAGATGTATCAAGACCCTCATTAATTGTATTAGTGGTCGGGTGATGAGCATTTTAAATAGTTAATATTTTGTTGTTAATTACTCCTTGTTCATCAGATAATGTAAATGATTCGGCATTTCTATTCATTTGTTGTGTAGGACGTTGGATTCCAGAAACAATGCTAAAATGGCGCAATTTTGTAATTTTATTTTTTTTTTTGAAGTCAAGACTGGACTGGTGCGCATAATTGGGGCATGATTGTGTCTGATGCGGCGTCTAGTCAGTAGTTTTTAGAAGGTCCAGTCAGCGTTCTAGAACGAATGATGACTCATCCATAATTTTTATATTCGAATTATGAATTATCTTTTATTTTTACGATTTAATTTGAATATTTTCAAGTATTATCTTTTATAATTTTTAGGATTTATTTTTATCATTTTCTAAGTCATTTTTATGGTTTTAAAAGTCTATAAATACCCCACTGGATTAAGCCTAAAGACATATCTCAGATTTCTTGAATTTATTTATTATTTGTTTTCTTCATTTATAAAAGTTTTTATACATTTCTTTTCTCGTTTTTTACTTTTTAAATTTTTATTTACTTTATTTAAAAATGTTAAGTATGATTTTTATCATACTTAACTAATTTTCTCATAAGCCAAAGGCTGAAGCGATGCTCAATTCCGATTGTGAGAATTGAAAAACAATAAATACTTTTCGAGTTATATTCTCAATTTTCTGCTAAATTAGATTGGCAATTGACATTTCCTTTAAAAATCCAAACATTTTTAAATCAAAAAGAGCTTGTTGTCTTGTTAGTTGTTTCGATTTAAAGTTAGGAGAAAGGATTGGCTTGTAGCACATTCGACTTCCTGTAAATACACTTAGCAACGGCCCGCTAAGGAAAATTGAGATATGGTTCAATTCTCATTGAGGCAACATAGTCTGAGTTGAATTTTTTCAAATCTTTAAATTGAGCTGGCTCTAGAAAAAAAACAAGTTACAGGGTTGGGCCCTGTAGATTGTAACCGACATGAATTTGAAGTGAAAATCTTATTCAATTATCGATGGAAATTGAGGCAAAACAAAGCCTGAGGCTTCCTTTATTAAATTGATTTTCTGCTAACTTTTTTACTTTCGTCAAAAAAAATTATATATTTCCAAGTTATTTCATTTTTACTTTTAATCTTTTAATTAAAACCCCCTTATTATTCTTTACTTTTTTGTCTAAACTAGAATCAAATCATTCACATCAGCAGTTCCAAAATCCCTGCAGATCAACCTTTTATCTTTATACTAAGCTTATTTAATTATTTTATTTGAGATTAATAAAATTATTGTCTGCAGATCAACCTTTTATCTTTATACTAAGCTTATTTAATTATTTATTTGAGATTAATAAAATTATTTGACAATAAACATGCTTGTCATGGCATGAAAAATGAGATATCAGAGTTATATCTAGGTGCTTGGCGTGTTAACAAGTAAAAGTAGAACATCAAGTTCCTTCAGGGTTGCTTCAACCATTCAGATTTCGTAGTGGAAATGGGATAGAGTGACCATGGATTTTGTGACTGAGTTGCCCATGACACGAAGGAAGCACAACGCCATCTAGGTATGGTCGGTAGGTTAACCAAATCCGCTCATTTCCCACCGGTTTATAGACTCACCATAGAGAGGTTGGCTAGGTTATACATCAAGGAGATAGTGAGATTGTATGGAGTACCAACGTCAATTATCTCCAACTGAGACCCGCGTCTTACTTCGGTTTGGAGTGCACTCATGAGGCTTTGGGTACCCTAATGCACTTTAATATTGCCTTTCCACTCGTAGACTGATGGTCAGTATGAGAATGTGATTCAGATATTGGATGATATGCTCAGATGTTGTGTGATAACCTCGAGGGTAGTTGGGAGGATCATCTCCCGTTGGAGGAGTTCGCCTACAACAACATCTACCAGTCAAGCATTCAAATGGCTCCCTATGAAGCCTTATATGGAGGAAATATAGAACGTCGTTATGTTGGACAGAGCTCAGTGATAGGATACTAGTTGGTCCCGATTTTGATCCGAGAGGCAGAAGAAGAGGTTCGATTAATTCAAGATCGATTGAAAAAAGCTTTCGATCGACAAAGAACGTATGCAAATTTGAAGCGTAAAGACATAAGTTTGAGGTAGGCGATAAAGTTTTCCTCAAGGAGTCGCCTTGGAAGAGGGGCTTAGGTTTTGGGTGCAAGGGAAATCTAACTCCACGCTTTATCGGACCTTATGAGGTTTTGGAACGAGTTGTACACGTTACTTATCGATTAGCCTTGCCGCATGAGATGGAGCGCATCCATAATGTTTTCAACGTGTCGATGCTTAGGAGGTATCGTTTAGACCCATCACATGTAATCCTTATAAATAGTAATATTTTAAAATTTTATAATAAATTATCTGTCCTGAATTATAATAATTAAGAAATTCTAAAAAAAGTTGACATGTAATTTAAGAAAGAGAGGTACTTTATTGTGAGGTTAATCTACGTTTTTTTATTGGTTGACCCCACTCTGATTACGAATCAAACGGTCGATTCTGTGGGTTGACTCGCGAAAGTTAAAACACGGTCGACTAGTCGGGTAGACTCGCGATAGGGTCCGTGTTTTATAAGCGAGTCCGGAAGTAAATCAGATTACGCAGTTAAGTGTAGTAGCCACCCACTTAAATAATGAAAAAAAGAAAGCCCTCCCCATTCCCTAAATCAAAACTCCTCCGTACAACAGCATGGAAATGCTGTGAGGTATATGCTTTTGATTGACAGAAGTTTATGTCCACATTGTTGTTTATATTTTAGATTTATAATTATTTGTTTTAATAAAAAATATTTAGCAGAAGAGGCGGAGGCTGAAAAGACTGAACAGGGTTGAAGAGGATCAAATCGATACCGAAGAATTAGATTTGTAATTAATATATGCATAACACATCAACATATTTAAACCTTATTGATTTGATTGTTTTTCGGTGGATTCATTCCATCCAGCACCGTCTAATTAAAAGCGATTAACAATGAACAGGAACCGAAAAGGAATTGAAAGTGTTGGAAGCAAAGGCATGGGAGATGAGAAGGAAAGTTAAGCAAATGAAATTGGAATATCGGAAATCAAAGGCAAAGCTGAGAAAACTTGAGCGGACTACTGCAGAAATCAGGGAAGCCCATCATCAAGCATCCATCCACAATGCTCAGGACCAGCTTTTACTTCAAGCTATGCTTCCTCTTTTCCTTGGTATTGCGATTTCCTTTTTCAACTTCTTTTTGCATCATCATAACTATACGTTCCAGCGGCTGCAAATTGGACCGATAATTTCTTCTTCTTTTTTCATTTCTTTTTGCAGATTAAAATTCAGTTAAAAAAAGCATCTTCTCCTTGGGTTTGCACGAGAATAAAGGATGAATATTCATGGAGTTGAGGGGGGAAAATCAAGTTCACTGAATCTATAAGTATTATTTTAATTGAATAAAGGGCACAAATGATCCTATCACTTTATGACACTTCTTTGTGTGGGTTTTATGACTATTAAAAATTATAAGTTTTAAACTCATCATTCATCATTAAAATATTGACGGTAATTTGAGTTAAAACATATGAATAATCAGATGACTCAACAAGCAATACCCTATAGTCTGAATTATTTGTATCTTTTGAGTTTATAAAATTTGAGTTAAGTTAAATCAATATATTTATTTGAGTTTTTATTTAAATTTAAATATAATTATTTATAATATTATATCACTTATCCATATTTGATCTAAATGACTCACTAACTCTATATATATATATATATATATATATATATATTGTAATAACCTAATTTTGTCCGGGTATTTGAAAATGAATTTCGGAGCTATCAAAAATTGATTCAATTGGCCTTGGTGGAATGGATGAAAAATAGTCCAAAGGGGTTTTGAGAAATGATTAATCAAGATTAGTGACCGTTATGTTATTTGGGAAATTGAGGATCCAAATTAAACCATTATTATGGAATACCCAAACAAATATCCAAATTAAACAGTCCATTATACAAATCCCATGTTGAACCCAAATCAATTAATCCATTCGAACCCGTTACCAAAATCCCATTTACATAGCTCTTAACACAAAACCCAAACTAGGTTGAGGCCTGTTTATCCAACAAGCCCAAAAACTCTAGGGTTACTAAAAACCCTAACAGATGAAAGGAGTTGCTGCCGCTCGAGGAACAACCATTGGATCTAACACTCTCCATCCAACGATCCAAACACCAGGAAATAGCATCTTCAGGCGCGTGTACCCGACGTCAGTACCATCCACTCCGTCACGCGCCACATTTGGTCCCCACCGGCAACGGTTCGTGTAAATTATCACTGATGCCAAGCACAACACTGGTCCTCTCCTCCACGACGACTGCCAGCAAGCCTTCCTCGTCATTGCTGGTTTCCCGAACTCCCTCAACAAAATCAAAGTCACATGCACGAGCAACACAAAAAAAGAAACAAAAAGAAATTGATGTAATTTTTCATTTGGAAATTTTGTGTAAATCGGGTATATATAAACCCACAACAGAAACATGTAAAGGGATCCTCCATTTCGGAAAAAAAGAAATTTGTAAGGGATCTCTCTCATTCTTCTCGACAAAGAAGCAATACCAGAAAACACTTTTTGAGGTTTATTTCTTTCGATTTTTCAGCAATCGTTTAATTATTTTTCTTGCATTCGGAAGCAAAATAAAAGAGAGGGTGAAGGGTCCATTTAACTGAGTCTTTGGGACCTCCTTACCAGAGATTGTCGCCGTATTATCGACCGTCGGAGTCGGGGTTTTGATGGGTCGAAGTTTAGACGCTTAAGGGGGTCGTTTCGATTTAACGAGGGAGTGCGATTTTATTTTAGAACGAGTCTAGATCTAGTTTAGGATTCGATCTAGTTACCTGGTCATCACAGTTAGAGGTCAGGGTGAAAAGCACCACCGTGTGCAGTGGTCGAGACTTCTCTCAAAAAGGATTTGGGTGAAGCTTTTACAAAGAGGGAAGCGCTGGTTTAGGTTAAGACAGAGGTTAACCTAAAAAATGAAAAAATATGACTAGACATAATGGGTTATTCGCTTAAAGGGCCCTATACTTTAGCCGGATTTTACGTTCTAGTCACTAATATCCTTTTCTTATTTATCAGTTCGATGTGCAAGTCCTAATCATGCTATTTTCCGTTGTTATGTTTTGGTGTTAACTTTTGAGTTATTCTTACATATACCCCGAAACCATTGCCGTATTTCTCTCTTTTTGTCACTAGACCTTTATTTTTATTTGTCCTAGATTTTAACATTTTTTATGTTTATTTCAATTTTGAAACTGCTTATCCTTTCTATATTTTAATTTGAATTCGTTGTTTATATTTCTTACAATCTAGTCAATTTTTATTATTTTATTTATTTTGAATTGTTCATTGATGATTCTGTTTTAATGTATTTCAGTTTTTATTTGAGGTATTTCATTTCTAAATCCCCATTTTAAATTCCTTCAATTTAGACCCTTTATATTTTTAATTAATTTTAATGTTTGTTTGATACTTTAGTTTCTTTTTAATTTAGTTTTAGAGATTTTTCATATATTGAACCCTTTAGGTTTAGATTTCTTTCAATTTAGTCCTAGAATCTTAGTTTTAGGTTGATACTATTATGTTTAGATTCTTTTAATCTATAGTGAGTACTATTCTTTTAGATCTAATCCCTAAACTTTGGAAATCTTTCACTTTAGTCCTTTAATTTAGAAAATAATTCAAAATGGCCCTCGCTTAAAATGCCCAAGGGACCATTTCGATTATTTGATTCAATAATTGGTTATAAAATTAATTAGGGTTAATAATTAGAACCTTGATCTTAGATCTTTTCACAATTTAGTCCTTAGACTTTAGTTAGATATTCATTTAACATAATTAATTAGGTTTAACATTAGAACCTCCACTTTAAGCTTAATTTCACTTCATCCCTTTAATTTAGGGAGTGATCTGAGTTGGCCATCGCCTAAATGCACAAGGGACCGTCTCGATTATTTGATTCAATAACTGGTTAAAATCAAATAAGATTAATAGTAGAGCCTCCATTTCTAGGTTTAGTCTCTTAGGTTCTTTAAATTACATAATTGGACACCTTAGGCTAGGGGAAGCCTTAACTAACCCACCTAGCATAATTAGGTTCAATCATGAATTGTTTGATTGCATTTAGTTTTAAAGGACAAGACAATGTTGATTTACCTAAGGAGTTCATCCGCATTATGCTCAGGGGGTGACCGCTAGTAATTCCCAAAGTAGGTGGACATTCTTTTCAAAACTCTCATATCATGATTTTTCAAAGGCAATGTTCGTTTATGTAGATCAATAACAAAGCTTTCACATTACATGCTCGAGAGTGATCGTTTTTGGTTTTATTAAACCAACATCCTTTTCCAAACTTGGCATCCATGATTATTTTTAAATTAAATAAGACCTCGAGCTCAAAATTTCTAATTTTTAAATATAGGGTAATCGACTAGGTACCAATTTCTGGGCGTTGTGGGGTGCTAATCCTTCCCCACGCGTAATTGACTCTCGAACCTGATTTCTGGTTTTTGCAAACAAAATTTGATATTTTTGATAAAATAAAATGTTTTATTAAAATTACCCGATTTTAAGTGTTCCAATCGCACCTTAAAATGATTGGTGGTGACTCCCAACATTTCAAAAAATATTTTCAAAGAAAAATCTCTTCATTTTTTAGTCGTACTATTTTTTGTCCCACCCGGGCGAAAAACGGTGTCGGCGTATGTATATATATATATATATTAAATAAGATTTGTAATATAATTTAATAAATTAAATACTTTTTAAAATTATATAATGTATTTATAATATTTTATGGAATACATTTGGAAGATAAAGTATTGATGATATTATAAATGAATCAATGAATTGATAGGAAGAAAGATTTTATAAAAAATTACAGCTGAATAATCAAATTGGATAAAATATAAAATTAAAAGACTAAATTAGAATAAAAAAGAATTGAAGTTATACAGATATTCTAAAGTAATTAAGAAGCATGAGATTCAAATTTAGTAACATATACATAAAAGAAATGATGAATTGAAAAAAGAAAAGAAAATCAAATACCAAATCACAAAAGAATCGAATTACTTATGCCTGTTTGGTGTGACTTTTTTAAAAGCAATATTAACTCAAAAAAACCTGTTTTGACCGCAAAATCAATGTCAAAAGGATAAAAAGTAAAAAAATACAGTAAAACAGTGGCTTCAAACTAACCGCAAAAGCTATGATTTATAGCTTTTCCATTTTGTGTTTAGTAGCAAATTATAATTTTACCCTTACTAATGCATAGACTCCTCTCAATTATGTATTTACATTTTATTTTAAACAATTTAATATTAACATTCTTAAAAAATAATTTATTACTTAATAATTTGTTTTAATTACTTAAAAATAAATAAAATTCATGGTTTGTATATTAAAATATTAATAGTGAGTTATTATACAATATATTTTATTATAATTATATTTTTAATTTGTACTTTTATTTTTTATTATAGTTCAAATTGATATATTTCATATATAATAATAATTTCTCAAATAGTTAAATTTTAAACTTACTTTATCTTTTCATACATAGTGTCTATAATGGACATTTTATCTTTTTAAGCTTACTTTTTAACTATAATCTCAAACAGTTAAATTTCAAATTGCAATTTTTAAACAACATTTTAAAAAGTTTTTTTTTGCAACTTTTAAAAATCATTTTTCAAAAGCCATGCGAGACTGAACCTTAGTTAAAATGTAAAATAACATTGTTAATTTTTTGTTTTTTATTTAAAATTTTAAATTCAAACTTGAAAATCAAACAAAAAAATTGAATAGACTCAAATAATTTAACTCGATTAACTTAAAATTTTTAAAAACTAGATTTTCTTTGAACTTTACTCATCCTAACAATAATATATCCAGAATTAAAATGAAGATTTACAAGTTTAACCGTAAACGTAAACTAAATTATAATTATGACATTTTCCTATAACTATTGACACTAAAATTAGATCACACTGGGGCAATAAAAAAGAAAAAGTTAAAAAAAACCTAATCAATGATTGAACAAAATAATGATACGAACAAATTTGATTGTATCGGTAAACGAAGCACAAAAGGAGATAAAATTATTGAAAGACTACCGACAAATCGTAAATCAGAGTTAAGTAACATGAGAAAACTATCCACGAGTACAAAACATATATCCAAGTCAATATGATGGTACAAAACAGAGAATATCAAAATGATAACAAATAAATATCATCCTTATCAGTTGTGGCATTGTTAAATCCAATCATGAGAAAAATAAATTAATAAAAACAACAATCAAACGATCAAAAACTAAAAAAAAACATAAAAATCATATCATAAATACATAAATAAATACGTGATAAAGAAAATATTATTTTTATTAAAATTTTTAATAAAATACAATCGGTGATCGACAAGTAGTATCATTGATTACGTTAAAATGTAAAACTACATAGTAACGAATGATGTGATGTGACATTTACCAAAACTTTCGCACTATGATTGCTTATTTGTGTCCACTTTAGCCTTCAGCTCGGTCGCCGACCCACGCGACTTCCTAAGTGAAAGCGTACGATCCTCGCGAGTCCGCCGAAAAATATTCGAGATAACAATAACTAAAGGTTTATATAACAAATAAATATTTGAAGTATGTTTTTTTATTTATTCAAAAATAATTTAAAGTTATTTTCATCAAAAATAGTTATCTAAAGTTTTTTTTATTAGGTATTTAAAATAAATAATTTTTATTTAAATATTTAAAATATTTTTTAATTAATGTCATATGCCAACTTTTTATAATTTAGATGAAAAGTTTAAATACTTTAGATAACTATTTTAACATAAAATATTTTAGGTACTAACTTTGACAAAAAATAATTTTAGATATTTATTTTAACTAAAAAATACTTTAAATAATTAAATGAAAAAAAATATACTTTAAATACTTATTTGTGATATAAGCCTGGCTAAAAAAATACGAATATTAACAGGTCAAATTCTAGTTTTAGTTATTCTATCATGTTTAAGTTTAATATTTAATCATTTTTTGGTAACCTAAACAGATATCTAATCTACTGATACAGATAGTTAATACTGTTAGTTACTATAGTTAAAATAATGAAGATGACCTACATAAATTTCATGAAAAAACAATACGACTAAATTTCAATTTTAGCAAGCACAGGGACCCAACTCAGAATTTGACCTATATAAATATTACTAATCCATGGAGTAGAGAAGAGATAGTGTTGTATACTCGGCTCTAAGTTGCAGAGGCAGAGGTGGTAAAATGGTGTTAGAAATGAAGAAGATGACGGAACACTGGGAAAATTGTCAAATTAGGGAAGCGAATGGGTCATTCAATAGAGTTTAGATGGAGAAATAGAATCTCAGCATCTTCCCATCATCTCTACCGTCTACGCCCAGAGCATTCGCTTCTCTAATTTACTCAATTTCATTCATTTTTCTATTTCACTCATTATACTTTTATTTTTTTCTACTTATTCCCTATACTTTATGCCTTAAATTTTTCTTATCATTCAGCTATTAACTTTGTAACTAATGATGTGACTTAAATAAAAACCCCGCTCTTTACAGTTATTTTCGACCCATTCATGGTCATAGTTATTATGGCTCTCGTCGACGTTTGCTTCTTGGTTGGCTTTCTCTCAATTTACAACGATCGTTGTAACGAAGCTCACGAAGCCATTTTGACAGCAAGATCGAAGAAGTTTTGAGAATAAAGTTCAGATACTAAGCACAACGATTCTAACAATGGCTGCTTCTGAGAATCCACTCAAACAAACCGCATACAGGAACTCACTCGAAAGTAAAATCAAACACACCGCTGTAATGCTTCTCTAATGATCGATCGCTACTCTTATTGGGGAAATCGAGTTATTTCTTACACGAACGTAGTTTCAAA